AGGTCACGGGTTCGAATCCCGTTGAAGCCCTGATTTTTTCAGGCTTCTTTCCAATTGCTTAAATTGGAAATTTACTGCGATGATCATTCTTCACTTTCAGGTTTGTTATTGTTCGCCTAGGAAGTCCCATCTCGTCTTGTTCTCAACTAACAAGGAGTCTGCTTACGGGCTAGAATCTAAGACAGCGAGAGTCAGTTTTCTTTAGCACCCTGTGATTCGTGTTCCAAAACACGAGCAGTTTTTTAGTTAAATTGTCCATAAATCGCGCGCTCTCTCTTCTTCCATATGATTGACAGAAGGAAGCAAATCGGTAGGTAGCCTAACTTCCGGCCAAGTGTGGGAGCCTGGTTACTCAGCTTAAGATGGCGAATAAACCATCGACACCAATATGAACAAAATTGGCCGGATAAAGAAGGAGCAAAACTTTACCACAGGTACAAAATGCTTAGAAAATTAGGCGGTCTTCGTTTTAGAGTTTTTGGGGTTTTAGGGTCTTAGGGTCTTAGGGTCTTCGTTTTAGAGACTATTGTTGGCACATTGACGGTTATGACAAACTAAAACTTTTCGGTTTTCCTATTGACGGTACACGGTTGTATTGATGGATGGAGCAGAAAGATAACGTGGCTACGATTGGAACGCTCAAACAATAGTCCCGAAGTTCCTGCCAAAAATTTTCTTCAATGTGTTGAATGTGGAGGTTGTCCAGTCAAACTAAGAAGCGATTGTGGCACAGAAAATGGGGTTATTGCTACAATCTGTTGCAATAGCGGAGCTCCGGCGGCCCGAAGGGCCACCAAGCGGAGCCCCATACTCATAAAGGAAAGAAAGAGAAACCCATGAGTTGATTTTCTCATGGTTATCATGGCTAGCGGTATTGCTCGTGGGCGCGTACGCACGACGGCGACGACGGCGACGGNTTAATTCCGTACCATGTGACCGGATCCTGCAAAGGGCCTATTTCCAGCACAGACCATTGAAACTTAGCAGGCTAATAGCGGAGCTCTGGCGGCCCGAAGGGCTGCCAAGCGGAGCCCCATACTCATATAGGAAAGAAAAACAAATCCATGAGTTGATTTTCTCATGGTTATCATGGCTAGCGGTATTGCTCGTGGGCGCGTACGCACGACGGCGACGACGGCGACGGAGTTGCCCAACATGGCGGCCATGCTCCAAATAATAGGTTGACAGACATGCAACCTTGGTTTACCCTGTACTTCCTTGATATTGGACGTCCATGTTACGATCAATTGACATCTGTCAAAACAAGGTATCCGCTGACCAGTATCACGTGACCATATCGCGGGACAAGTTTACAGCTCCTTGAGGTCACGTATTTTTTGAAGTTGACCGCTGACCAAGTGCTGGTTATCGATTGGATCGTAGGCTCATATTAGGTTAACTTGCTGGAAACAGGGCGGGATTGCTCGGAAGCCGGTTAACGCTAACCCAGGATTAAAAGTTAACCAAATTATAGCGGAGTTCCGGCGGCCCGGAGGGCCGCCAAGCGGAGCCCCATACTCATATAGGAAAGAAAAGGAAACCCATGAGTTGATTTTCTCATGGTTATCATGGCTAGCGGTATTGCCNATCCATGTTATGATTGTGATAACAGGTTTTTGGGCCGCTTAAGTTGTTATCCTTGTTACAACAATCCAGAGGGAAACACGCTTGCAGCGACTGAGTTTGTCAGACTTCTAGAGGACTCGGGATCTGTTACAGCAAAACAATCCAACGGGAAATAGAGAATACGCAGTACTTGGGTCCAACAGTAGAGTTTAATCCACTAACGTACTCAGAACGTAACCAGAATTTATTATATGGCTTTGGCTTGTGGCCGATATAACGCGCGCTCTGATTGGCTAAGAGCGAGATCTGAGCGGTCATTATGCAGCCGTAATGCCCACGGRCCGATTACGGATTATGCAAATTAGGAAGAGCCCGACTCTGAAAATTCAAGCGCATTGAAGCGATGAAAGCCGATTAAAATCAGTATGAGAATGTAAGTAGCTAAAAGTTTAGAGATATTTCCTTAATAAAATTTATATAGGTGACGTACCAGCCGGTAACCTTGGCGGGCGCTAGTGAAAACAATCAAAGTTTGCCGAGTCTTTAAGTAAAGCTAAAATCGCCAAGTGTAAAACACCATCGGCAGATTTGTCATGCATCCTGAGCAGAACACCATGAAGAAAATTATAAGTTATCATCTTAGTCACAACAATTACCGGAGTATTGAACTCCGTCAAAGTTCTCATCAAATAGATTCCCTCGCTTTAACACAAGCAAGTGTAAATCAGCTTCCAGGATCATCAGATGTAAACAATCGGGCGGTTTCTGTCAGTAGCAGTATTTCTGATAACTGCAGATGTTCACGAGGCTTGAAAAGTTCATCCACAAATCCCAGAATGAAGAAGGCGAAGATATGTTGTCGAAAGCGAATGCGAAGATCGAGTTA